ACTCATAATCTATGACATGTGGGTCCTCATGTGCATATGATATGTGGGTCACACCTAAAAGTAACAAATAGTTAAACATCTCAAAAAAAAATCCATTGTAATTTCGGTTAATTCGATTTGCCATTGCAAATATGCCTTTTTAGATAACTACCATTACAATTCGTTTATTCATAGTCGTGCCAGTGAAATTTTACAAAATTGGAACTGTGCTACTACCGTCACATTTTCCATCCATCTCCTCATTTGAACGTGAGACCCACTCGTCAGATTCATCTTCTTCATTTCACACTCCCTTATCTTCTTCCTTCCCCATCTCAGTGTCATGGCGAGGAGCGTGGGGAGAGCACCTTGATGATGCGGGCGACTAAGCTCTTGTTCCAATAAAGGCTGGAGGAGGTGGTGGCGGTGGAGGCGAAAGGGGAAGGGGAAGGGATGGGAGGAAACTTGGCCCGTTGGCACAAGCCTGTTGGTCATTGTCTCATCCTAGGAGGTCGAGCGACGACGATGGTAAAGTAAGTCGAGGAGGCTAAGGAGGTCAAGCAGCTGGGGAGAGCTCTCCTAGGTCTCCGTGAAGCTCTCACCTTTGTCTTCCCCCTCCCCACTTTGCTCCTCTTCATGCCATCGCCGTTGAAGCTAACAACCCTCTCTCTCACCAGATCTAGGCGGAAGCTCAGGCGAGACGGCACCACCGGCGATGGAGCTCCGGTGGGATCCATGGCAGGGAAACTCTTCCGTCACCGCCTACCTCACCTCCTCCTACCGCATGCCATGCTTCCTCTACACCCTCCTCTCCGTATCCCCTTTCTCTGTTGATCTTCTCGTGGTGGGTGACTGTGTCAACGAGCACGTGGTCGAGGCCGCCGGTGTATGGACGGTGTGCGTGCTGAGCTACCGAGGATCCCGCCATCGCTCACCGGTCCCGCCGCCACTCGCCGCTCGTCGGTGTGGGAAGAAGACGAGAGATAGAAGGAAGAAAAAAAAAAGAAGAAGAGACGGATGGAAAACGTGACGACAATAACATTTATTTGTAACAACATATTTGCAATGACATGGATCGAATTAACCCAAATTTTGGACTAATTAAATCGTTGAGTCAACTACTTTTTTCAATGCTGTTCATCTCAACCACTCCAAAACGTTCAAAGGACACAGCATGACAATATTGAATACTAGTACAAGCTTTGAAATATCCTGAAAGACCACCATTTAAAATCGTTTCAGTAAAATTAATGTTAGTAGCAGCAACCGGAGGAAAAGAAAACCAGTCAAACCAAACTACCTCAAGGTCGCCTTCGTCCCCCCACCCCCCCCCCCCCCCCCCCCCCCCCAGTTCTCCCCCTTCTCCATAGAAACCGTGTCCCTCCCCTACCTTACCCATCCCCCCCGCTCCTCCCCTTCCCGATCAACAGCAACAGCGGCGGTCAAAAGCTTCCCCCCGCGACGACCCCCTCCACCTTCCCCCAACCGCCCTCGTAGTCTCCGCGCGCAGGCAGCAGAGTCGCCTTCCCCTCCTCCGGTCGATGCGACGGAGCTGAATCGGCCAGGATCCCGAGGAGGAGGAGGAGCGGACGGCCCGCATGAGCCTCGCTGGCTCCGCCCTGGAGGCGGCCCTGCAGGCGGTGGGGCGCGGCCTCGACGCCGCCGGTGACCACCGGCTGCTCTACTGCAAGGGCACTGGGAGGCTCCTGATGCTGGACGAGTCCCGCGCGCGGGACCTGACCATCAACGGCGGCGTCCTCCGCGGGGTGCCCCCCGACGTCGTGGTGGAGGAGGGCCACGGCATCCTCGAGCGCATCCGCCAGGTCCCGGGACCCCCAACCGATGAGCCCGTCGTCTGCAGCTTCCCGAAGGTGAGGGGAGTTGCTCCCGAATCCCGATTTGGGGGAATTTTTAACGGATCGAGTAGGCATGTACCTTGCCGCCTCCTTCTGTTGAAGGCGCTAGATGCGAATCGTAGTAGCGTCTCTTGCTCCATCTGTATCTGATTGTGCTGTGCTATGCTTGCTTGGTTAGATGGCTGAGTGCTTCAACAGGAAGGCGGGCTTGCTGGAAACAACAGTACCGCTGGGTTCCTTCAACTCTCTCTTCAGCTTTACTGGTTCTTGGAAGAATGATGAAGCGGCGACGAAATCCCTCGCGATTGATGGCTACTCCGTGCCTCTGTTTAAAGTTAAGATAACGAGTGGTGAATTGTTTCTGCATGAGAGCGTTAAGCGCGCAATTCCACATAGTTGGGATCCTTCAGCATTGGCTAGGTCAGTAGGTAATCATCTTATTTGACTGATATCAGGGTCCAGTTCTGATCATTCGCATCTTACATTGTTCTTTGTATGCTGCTGCCATTGTCATATAATAACAAGCTCCTCTTGTTTCATATCTCTTCAGCTTTATCGAGAACTATGGTACCCATATTATTACTTCTGTTACGGTTGGTGGTAAGGATGAAGTATACATAAAGCAGCATTCCTCATCCCAATTATCAGAATTGGAGTTCAGAAATTACGTCAAAGAAATTGGAAGCGAGAGATTCTCAGATGGGGATAGCAAGTTAAATGCAACTCCCATAAATTACAGTGAGAAGGTTAGCTCCATACTGATATTTCTATTTAAATTAAAATAAAAGAGGGAGATGGCCCACCTGTAATTGCTGATAATAATAGAAGATCGTCATGAGTCATGAATATCCTAATTAGTTACCTGGAAGGCTGTATGGTCCCTTCTGCGTCGTGGCTATTTTGTCTACATCTTTGAGAACCACCTGAAGTCATCTGCAATGAGAAATTAGATAATTTGATATCCTAATTTTAGCTTTTTATCTGGCAAAACATCCTAATTCCAGCTTGCAAAATTGATCAACATTTTTTATCCCTTATGCAGGATATGACAGTAATCTTCAGAAGGAGGGGTGGTTGTGATCTTGTTCAGAATTTTAATGATTGGATAAAAACTGTTCAGTCAGCACCAGATGTCATAGGCATGACATTTCTCCCTATCGTCTCACTTGTCGGTGATATGCCTGGAAAGAAGCACCTCGCTCGTGCAATTGAACTTTATTTGAAATGTAAGACACGCTTCTGATTCCCTTGTTTTGTCAGTATGCTCATAGTGTGCTTTGCCTACTTTTAACATATAGTTTAACCCCCTGAGCTGTTTTCCTAAAGCACTATCATTTCTGTATCAAAGTCCCTTTGTAGTTGGCCTTCGTGTTTTAGTAATGATCATCTTTTTTTCTTCTGTGATCAAGATCAACAGTTTTTCCCTACAATGACAAAGTTTAGTGTGACTAAGTTCATACGGTAGTGGTGCTTCACAAAGACAGTACTGTTACTGTGGATAACTGTTTTCCTGTGTCTTTTTTTTCTTTCTGTTGGACTGAGATATTTTCCTGGATAAATATATTACATGTTGGCTCTTCAATCATGCTGTTCTTTTTTCACTACAGACAAGCCCCAAATTGAAGAGTTGCAGTATTTCTTGGATTTCCAAGTTCAACTAGTTTGGGCTCCAGTACCACCAGGTATTGCTGGTCAACATAGAAAGGAGCCTGTATGTCCATCACTTCAGTTTAGTTTGATGGGCCCAAAGCTCTTTGTTAGCACTGAACAGGTAAAAGGATACCCCACAGGCCCTTTCTTTTACGCAAGTACATTAGTGTGATAATTTCCTTTTCTAGTTTTGCTGTAAGTTGGTTAATTTAATGTTCTCACCAGCTCCTACCCTGTTGACTGAGTCTCTGAGGCAAAGACAACCATAATTTTACTTTATTGCCTTATAACCTCAAGATTATACATTTACATTGGATGAAATATACTTTTGCTTGGAAGTTATGAAAAAGATAAAATAAAGTGTTTTTAAGACAATAAATTCTGAAACCAATGTAGCACATGCTAACATCCAATGAAATATATGCAGATATCTGTTGGGCGTAGACCAGTCACTGGTCTGAAGCTATGCCTGGAAGGAGCCAAACAGAATCGTCTGGCTATTCATTTGCAGCACCTTGGCTCATTGCCAAAAATATTTGTACCTCATTGGGATTCCCATATCACAATTGGACCGCCAAAGTGGCAAGGCCCTGAAGAGCAGGATAGCCGCTGGTTTGAACCAATCAAGTGGAGGAATTTTGCTCATGTCAGCACTGCGCCCATAGAGTACACTGAAACAAGTATTACAGACCTATCTGGTGTTTATATTGTAACAGGAGCACAACTGGGCGTGTGGGATTTTGGTGCGAAGAGTGTACTCCATCTTAAACTCTTATTCTCCAGAGTTCCTGGATGCACAATTAGGAGATCAGTGTGGGACCATAGTCCATCAAGTTCTTTGGTCCATAGGACAGATGAAGCTTCATCATCCTCTAGTGATAATGCTAAACTTGTGAAGATTGTTGACATGACCGAGACATTGAAGGGCCCACAAGATGCACCTGGCCATTGGCTGGTAACAGGAGCAAAGTTGGGGGTCGAGAAGGGCAAGATTGTTGTTCGTGCAAAATACTCGTTATTAAACTATTGACCAAATGTTGAAAGCATTCATTCATTCACTCTGCTATGAAGCATCCTGTTTAAAGATAGCATATGTTCTTTTGTTCATCATGTATGGTTTTTAATGTAACATCATATGGATTCGTGCTTCTTGTTGATTCTGTGAGGGATTAGCGCCTAGATGTTTGTGTCCGATTACAAAATATTTGACCTGGTCTCAGTGATCTGTTAAATCATCTCTGTGTGGCAGTAGAAGATGTATATTAGTATAAATTTTTGAATTGGTATTTTGTTATGCGAAGTTTAACCCAGTGGAGTTGAACTGGGCAATGCTTTTTTTCCCCTTGTGATATCATGATATGCAATCAACATTTTATGGTGCTTATCAAATTCTATGTGATCTGTGCATCCTGGGTGAGAAATTCCTTGAAGTTAAGCCAATTTTATCTACTGCGTGGCATAAACACTCTGATGGACATGATGACAGTTTTGTGAATTCTGCAGATGTTTGGCAAAGTTGAGGCACAGCAGCTGTTATGGAGCATCGATCTCCAGATTTGTTCTGCCATTTATAGCGTGGACCGAGAAATGCATCACTATCTTTTGTACGTTTGTGCTTGTGTCAGCAAGCCTAGTAGTAGATCATAAACAAGCTGTTGATGTTGTCTCCCGTTCATTTGGAAGCCTGTACGGCTGTACCTGTCTGTTGCGATGCATTCGTCCTGGAAGAGAACAAAGTAAGAAGTGGTCGCCATCGACGTAAATACGAGGACGCATGCTCCTTCCTGAATTCTGATGCGGCTTCTACTTCTGCCATTGCAATAATCTTTTTGGTATTATGGTATATGATTCGGTGGATATCAGGGCAGCTTCCAAGTGGAACGAATGGAAGCTATTAAAATCGACTTCTTTTCCATTTTCCTCCCGTTTGGATTTTTTTTCCTAAGCAACCATTTGCAAAATACTTTCTCCAGCCCTTTTTTAAAAAAAAAGATCGTGTAGAAACCCGAACAGAATTTCTTTTGAGAATACCAATATCAGCATCTTGACTATTCACGGTTGTTAGGAATTAAGAACATCTGCTGTGTTCAAGTTGGGGCAGTTATCAAGTGATTCCATTCGCTGATCCCTTGTGCGCTCTGACTTGGTATTTCCGCAGGGACATTCTTGGCGCCTCCGTGGAATGTTGATTAGTTTAGTGGTGATGTCGAAGGAGATGGAGATCCAAACATAACAGCGACTTAGTTGGAAGTTGGAACTGGTAAGTAGTGCACTAGTGCTCAAATCATTTGCCCAGATACTGTATGTGAACAACTTAAAAATGCTTTGGTTTGATCAGCCATAGCAATACACGACATTGCCATAGATAGTGTCATTTTCAACTCTGTCGTTCATTCTGAAGTTGATCTGTTACGTGTAACATAGAAGGAAACAATTTCGTTTACTTTTTTTTTAAAAAAAAGGATATAAGAAATGAAATCATCTTATCTTCTTTTTTCTTTGCAAGGAGAAATATCTTGTCCCTGGAAACACATTTGTATGAATGATTCTCTGGATGGCCTAATGTGTACATGCAAAACCAACTGGAACCAGTGGCAAACTACCAAAGGTAAATGCAAGTGTGAACGGATGAAGCTAATGAAATTTTTTTATGTACTGAATCATACACATCGACCAAGTTATGTTAAAGAAACTGATAATCTAATACGTCATCTGACAGCTGCAAATCATACACATCGACCAACTTGTGTTAAAGAAAGAAGATTTCTCTATCCTATGGCGGCCTCTCTTATTAGTTTTATAACCAGATTAGACAATCCTCGGAGGACCCGTTCACCAAGCAAGATGCTTTATATGGCCAAGCAAATGCGCCTTCTATCTGTCACTCGATCCACCTAGAGTTCTTGGCCAAAATGGTACGCTCATTTACTGTCCAGCATTTCCATCTTCTCATTGTGTCGATACTCTCACTGATGTGTGGTTTTTCATGACATCTTAATAGGAAAACGAGGAGATGAGCAAAGTAACTCAAGCTAATGGAATAGACTCCAGGGTATCTTTCTTGGTTTAGCTATTATCTTTTATTTGAAATTGCCGGTGCCTATCATTTAGTGTAGTAACAGCATGGAAATGCTGTCCTTACTATTTACATGCATGTAGTACATAAACTAATATCTAAATAGATTTATGCTTGAAAATAGATTGCTACTTCCTTCTTGTTGCATTTTGATCCAATGTGTAAGTTGTATGAAAGCTGAACATAAACGATACAAAGTTAACTGTGTTTTTGCACGGAGCTGTATTAGATATTCAGATTTTTTTAGATAATGAAAGTTTTTATTGAACCCAATCAATTATATCAAGGTGATACAATTTTCCCGAGAACACTTCTAGCATCCGCATAGTTTTTTTATTTTTTTTTAGAATTGTACAGTATTTTTACCTGGTCTTTACATCCAATCGGATATATGCAGCTTTTTTTAAATTATGAATTTAGCCTATTAAAGAGGGAACTTAGCCCTCAAATAACCCAATCTGAAATTCACTCCTATGGAGATTTGAACTCAGAACCTTGATATGCTACTTAGGTCACTGCAACCACTAGTATTTGTATAGTTAAAATGCACACAACCGGACACACACAACCACACTCAAAAAAGAAAAAAAAAAGATAACATGGAATGTTGAGGGTCATCGATCCTAACACTAAGTCGTCAACCGTGAACACTTCCTTGAACATCTTCTCCAAATACACAGAGTATTAAGAGCCAACAATTCTAAGACTGATCGCCAGCCTATAACGCTGGGTAAAAAACTTCTTGACCACCTTCTCCAGATGTAAACATATCACAACCATCCCATATCCCATGAATCAGGCTTCTTTAGGATATAGCTCATGTACGAAGCCAATGGTTGCTTATTAGATATTCAGATGAGGATTGATGAATCATTTCTTTCTCAGTGGTTGCTTATTTCTTAAATCTTTATCATATCAGTCTTTCTCATTTCTTGTTATTCTTGAAATTTTGACAGGAACACAAAGGGCAGAGCATAGCAGTTGAAGCCAACAGCAAAGTAAACTCACCTAACGCTTACTATTTCGTATCTACTCCCTCCGTCCCAAAATATAAGAATTTTTAGGGTTGGATACGGATATTAAGAAAATAAGTAGAATTAAATGGGAGAATGTTATGATTGGTTGAGAAGTGGAGGTAGATGAGAAAATTGAATGGTGGAGAGTTGTGATTGTTCGAGAAAAAAATGTTGGTGAAGAAGTTGTTATATTTTAAGACAAATCTTGAGGGTTAGAAGTTGTTATATTTTGGAACGGAGGGAGTAGTAGTTTGGATTTGACTTGTTTTTTTTTTAGGAAAATTGGAATTGACTTGTTACTAAAATAAATAAATGATCAATAGGGAGAGACTCGTGAAGTCGTTGAAGGGAAGGTTGACTGGAGGGGAAGACCTGCAATAAGAGGGAGTCATGGTGGTGTTGCCAATTCTTTCTTCATTCTTGGTAAATTTTTGCCATAAACGCTTATCACTTCTCTTATAAAGATAAAGAAAATGACATGTTAAGTCTTTGCAGTTCATAAAATATATTTGCATTCAGGTTATTTAGTACTTCAGTCTTCAGCAATGTGCCTCTTAAAACTAAATGAGAATCCATATAGTTCACTTATCATCATATCATGTCTTGGTGTATAACCAACCGAACTAGTGGTATTTATAACTATGATCAAATAAATATCGATCTGGGTTACAATAATACTCTCTCGTTTTTATAATATAAGGGATTTTAGGTGGAGGACGTGACAGGTAGGACGGAGAGTAGTTAATTAGCATATACTATGGGTCATCCGTGAGACAGATTCTAGCAATTTTTGTCGATTATGGTACTGTAGCCGCATGATATGGTGTAATGAAGTTTTATAACTCACTAATTAGCAAGCAAAAGAACTGAAACCGGCCCGGTGAGTGATCTTTGTTGGTTGGTTATATTGGCCATTGCAGTGAACTTTGGGCTCGAGAACCTTGCCTCGTTGTCTCTAGCCGTGAACCTTATCATCTACTTCATGACGGTCATGCACATTGGTCTGACTGATGGCTCCAACCTGCTGACCAACTACATGGGCACGAGCTACATGGTCGCAGTGCTCATCTCCGTCTTCGCGGACACTTTCATTGGCCGGTACAAGACTGTCATCATATCGTCAGTGATCGAGCTCGTGGTGCGAATTTTTACCATCATCTACATGATACAGTTCTTTGCAACAATTCTACAGCTTAATTACTGCAGCAATTGGAATAAACTATAATACTGTAGTAAACATTCCTGCAGGGCCTGCTGATTCTTACACTGCAAGCTCACTCCAATAAGCTGAAGCCACCGTATTGCGTCTTCCCGTTCGACCCCAAGTGCGAGACGGTGAGCGGCGACGGCAGGACGCACCTCTACGTGGGGCTGTACCTCGTGGCGATCGGCTCGGCGGGCATCAAGGCGGCGCTGCCGGCGCACTGCGCCGACCAGTTCGACGAGAAGCACCCCACGGAGAAGCTGCAGATGTCCAGCTTCTTCAACTGGCTGCTGCTCAGCCTCTGCACCGGCGGCGCCATCAGCGTCACGGTGTTCGTGTGGATCCAGAGCTACAAGGGCTGGGACAAAGGGTTCGGCGCCGCCACCGGCGTGATGGGCCTCGCCCTCCTCGTCTTCATCGCCGGCCTCCCCGGGTACCGCATCTCCGTCGTGCAGGGCAGCACCGCGCTTCTTGAAATCTTGCAGGTCGATCGGAACGTTCACGTTGAGCATCGCAACGACTGTCCAGTGACAGTGCGACACGGTTACTCACAAGTTCTTTCTTTCTTTTTTTTTTCTCTGCGTTGTTTTCAGGTGTATGTTGCTGCCATCAGGAACAGGAATATGAAGCTCCCTGAGAACCCAGACGAGCTGTACGAGATCAGCAAGAGCAAAGCTCCCCCTGACACGGACTTCATGGCTCACAGGGATAAACCGTTCAGGTTGTTAATTGATCATGCATGCCATTTTTTATGATGCTTGATTATGCATTCGCATGACACTTAGCGCGTTGTACTGCGTGTGTGCAGGTTCCTTGACAAGGCGGCGATAGTACAGGCGCCAACGGATGAGGCGCCGAGCCCATGGCGGCAGTGCCGAGTGACCCAGGTGGAGCACGCCAAGACGGTGCTCGCCATGGTGCCCATCTTCTGCAGCGCCATCATCATGAGCACCTGCCTCGCGCAGCTCCAGACATTCTCCATCCAGCAGGGCGTCACCATGGACAGGACCATCGGCACGTTCAAGATGCCGCCGGCGTCGCTGCCCATCATCCCGCTCATCGTCCTCGTGTTCGCGGTGCCCATCTACGAGCGGGGCTTCGTGCCCTTCGCCCGCCGCATCACCGGCCACCCCAACGGCATCCCGCACCTGCAGCGGGTCGGCGTCGGCCTCGTGCTCTCCATCGTCTCCATGGCCATCGCCGCCGTCGTGGAGGTGCGCCGCAAGAGGGTGGCAGCAAGGCACGGGATGCTGGACGCGAATCCCATTCTCGGGAAGCAGCTGCCCATCTCCTGCTTCTGGCTGGCGCCGCAGTTCACCGTGTTCGGCGTCGCTGACATGTTCACCTTCATCGGGCTCCTCGAGTTCTTCTACTCGCAGGCGCCGCCGGCGCTCAAGTCCATGTCATCCTCGTTCCTGTGGTGCCCCATGTCGCTCGGGTACTTCCTCAGCACCATCATCGTCAAGGCTGTGAACGCCGCCACCAGGGGCGCCACGGCGAGCGGCGGCTGGTTGGCCGGCAACAACATCAACCGGAACCACCTCGACCTCTTCTTCTGGCTGCTCGCCGTGCTCAGCTTCCTCAACTTCCTCAACTACCTCTTCTGGGCCAGCTGGTACAAGTACAAGCCTCAGCAGTCAGCCCACGTACCAGCAGAGCACAAAGTATGATGATCATCCAGCGTCTCGAGAACCTTGGTAATAAAAGATGTGCAGTTGTTGCTACCATTTTTGCCTCACGGGTGCACGGAGTACCAACGTGGCAACGTGAGTTTCCCATAAGGGGAAGAATATATAGGTATACGGAACTTAATTCTAATCAGTTCCAGTACAAAGATCATGGAATTGCATCGTCGGTGTGTATAAATGTGATATTTTGAAGCACAAATTTTCATGGGGTTATTATAGTTGGGCAGCGCTGACCGTGAGTCCGTGAAGCGTCAGTGCCCAATGGCTCCAAGCGCCCGCGCGCGCCACCAGCTGTCGCTGCCTCTGCGTCGCACATCTGCCAGTGCCACCTACGGCGCATGCCGTCTGCCACGTAGAGCCCACCGTGCCCCTCGTGTCGTGCAGCATGCGCGCCAACTTGACAGCGTCGCGCCCTACAAAACCCACCGGATGCATGCGCGTAGCGTATGTGACGGCATTACGGAAAACCCCCACCAGCAGCAGCTACGCGAGGTCGGATCGGATGGCGTCCAGCAACGAGAAGCCACTGCCCACACCGATCTCTGCCGCCGCCGGCGGCAGCGGCGGCAACGCGCCGCCGGGGAGGCCGACGACGGTGGATTCGATGCTGCTGGACAAGGGCGCGGCGATGCTGCAGGCGCTGCGCCCGGTGAAGCATATCAAGCAGCACGTGTGCACGTTCGCGCTGTACGCGCACGACCCGCGCCGGCAGGTGGAGACCCACCACTTCGTCTCCCGCCTCAACCAGGACGTCCTCCAGTGCGCCGTCTACGACGCCGACGACAAGCACGCCCGCCTCATCGGTGCGACGCCGCGCGCGCGCGACACGCTACATCCCCGCATGATTACAGCTAGCTGCTAACGAGTTCGTGTGTATGTGTACATGTGTGTGCAGGAGTGGAGTATATCGTGTCGCGGAAGATCTTCGACTCGCTGCCGGCGGAGGAGCAGCGGTTGTGGCACTCGCACGCGCACGAGATCAAGGCGGGGTTGTGGGTGAGCCCGCACGTTCCCGGGATGCTGGAGAAGGCGGAGCTGGAGAAGATGGCCGGCACGTTCGGCAAGTTCTGGTGCACCTGGCAGGTGGACCGCGGCGACCGCCTCCCGCTGGGCGCGCCGGCGCTGATGGTGTCGCCGCAGGACGACCCCGCGGCGGACGTGCGCCCCGACCTCGTGCGCAACCGGGACGACAAGTACCGCTACTCCACGACGGAGCTGCGGGCGGCGAGGGCCGACGTCGCGGTGCCGGCGGAGCCGCGACCGGGGCAGGCCGACTACTGGCTCCGCCACCGCAAGGGCTTCGCCGTGGACGTCGTGCCGCACGAGATGAAGTGCCACGCGCCGTTCCCGTAAGCTGTGAACAGTACGCTGGCAGAGCTGTGGCACACGACTCGTGTACGTGAACGTAGTAGTGTAGGAACGACCGTGGGTCGTTGTATCGTGTGTACGGCTCCGTCGTAAACTCGTAACACCAACTGCTACCACGTCTTCTGGGCAAAAAATGGTGCGTGACTTGACTTGAGCACTTTCATGTCTTGGATTTCACACAGTTTTTCTTTTAGCCAGTTCAACAAAAGCTTAATCATGAGTCTAAAAAAATGAAGTTGAGCTAGAAAAAATGAAGTAAGCTCAACTGTTAGGTTTGAGGGTTTATTTTGGAACCAGTTCATGATTTAACAGATTAAACACGTTTACTTGTTTTTAATTATCTCAGTTCATGATCAATTTTGTCATGTGGGTCTTCTAAGGGTCCTCTAATGGTTCGCACGCAAAACTAAGTCTACACTCAGAACCTATTTTTATATATAGACCTCTTAAGGTATTTTTATAGACAGACCTCTTAAATAAGAGGGTCGCATGTATAGTTGGTAAGAGGGTCGCATGTATAGTTGGGTCTCTTAAGATGATCGTCTATTTTTATAGATAGACCTCTTAAGGTAAGAGGATCGTCTCTTAAATAAGGCTTATGATAGTCTATTTTTATAGATAGACCTCTTAAGGTAAGAGGATCGTCTCTTAAATAAGGGGGTCGCATGTATAGTTGGGTCTCTTAATAGGATCGTCTATAATCTATTTTTATAGATAGATCCTTAAGAGGATCGTCTCTTAAATAAGGGGGTCGCATGTATAGTTGGGTCTCTTAATAGGATCGTCTATAATCTATTTTTATAGATAGACCTCTTAAGGTAAGAGGATCGTCTATTTTTATAGATAGACCTCTTAAGGTAAGTCAATAGACCTCTTAAGAGGATCGTTTATAATCTATTTTTATAGATAAGACCTCTTAAGGTAAGAGGATCGTCTATTTTTATAGATAGACCTCTTAAGGTAAGTCAATAGACCTCTTAAGGTAAGTCTATTTATATAATGGTCCGCACGCAAAACTAAGTCTACACTTAAAACTAAGTCTATTTTTATATATAGACCTCTTAAGGTATTTTTATAGACAGACCTCTTAAGTAAGGGGGTCGCATGTATAGTTGGGTCTCTTAAGAGGATCGTCTATTTTTTATAGATAGACCTCTTAAGGTAAGAGGATCGTCTATTTTTATAGATAGACCTATTAAGGTAAGTCTATTTATATAGACGTAAGTAACTTTATAGACATACCTCTTAAGTAAGGGGGTCGCACGTATAGTCGGGTCTGTTAAGAGGATCCGCTAAAGTCTGAGTTACCTCGTCTTTTCTCTCCTCTTTTCTCTTCTCATCACTTCAAAATTTTTCATTTTTATCATCTCTCACTTTCTCTCCTAAATATTTTATCTTTATCCTCTCCTCTAGCAGGCGGCGGCGGTGAGAGGGGCACACGTTGATGGTAGCGGGCGACAGCAAGTGCAGCGGCTGCAGACGGCACCTCTGGCGAGGGGGTAGGTGGCGACGGGCTAGGTCCCGCAACGGCCGGCGGTGGGTGACAAGGGGATGGTGGGAGGCTTGGGCTTGGCTCGTGGTGGATGGCAGTGGGCGACAGGTGGCTTGGGCTTCCTAAGGGCGGGCTCGACCCACAACTACTGACGGCGGGTGCCTCGGTGGCCGAATCCACCTCCGCCGATCTCGTGACGGCGCGATCCGTCGGCGTCGGCGCTGTGACCGTCAGATCCGCGTCGCCGTCGTCGGGATTACTAGGGTTTTGATTTTTTTTAAGATATCTTTTTTTACTTTTATATATGGATGATATAAGCACCCGCGCATGAAAATTATCATAGACCACTTGGGACGGACGGTCCGTCTTTTACATGTGAAAATAGGTTTTGGTCTGCCTGGAAAAACTCTTCCTGTACCAGTGAGTGATTCTAAAGCTTATGATGTGTAGGGAACGGAATAAGTACGGCTGCAATTTTGAAGTAGCAGAGATGCTAAAGTAGTAGAGATGACGTCGGGCTTCACTTTGATGCTAAAAAAAACCCTTACCAAAAAGTGGTAATTTGCCAAAATTTTAGTAGGATTTCTTATATAGTTACCAAAAATTAGCAACAAACTAAATGTAGCCACTTTTTTTGGGTAACTTTACTAAAATTTGATAAGATTAAAAATGGTATCAAAGTGAACAGGCCCGTCATGTAAGAGAGGAAGGAGGGAAGGATAGCTATGGGAGAAGGGAAGACATACGGTGTGAAGGGGATGGAAGCATTACGAGTACAATTTTAAGTAGCAGAGATCCTAAAGTATTATTAGCTCATCCCAAAAATGTTCATATCGAATGAACGAATCATGTGCACCGCTTTCATCTCTCCGTACGATTAGCCAGGCCCAGACACCCAGGAGATGTCGAAAGGCCTATATGGGCCAGATGATGTGTCCAGGGCTCAGGCACATGTCCACGGTCCACCACAAGCGAGGCCCAACTCAGAGTGACACGAGTTCGAGCCCACAGAGTAAATGCCCAACCCACCACTTCCCCCACCAATCGCTTCTCCCCCGATGCCGTCGTCGACGATCCGGAGCATCTCCATCACAGCATCCGACGACGACGCCGCCGCGGCGGGGGCGCCGTCGGCGGCCCCCCGGCGGGCCCGAGCCGCCCGGCGGAAGGCGGCGCGCGGCCTGGGGCAGCGGGCCGTGCGGCTGGTGGCGCGGTGGTGGCCCGTCCTCCTGCTCCTCCCGGCCGTCGCGCTGCTCCTCTTCGAGGCCTCGCGTCTCCGCGGCGCCTCCCCCGACGGGCCATCCCCGCACGTATCCAGCTCCAGCCTCGGCCGGCTCGACCCGACCACCCGCCTCGTCCATGGCGTGCGCGAGCGTGAGTGCTTCTCTCTCTCCCCTGTTACGATCTGAGTGTAGGCTTTCCCCCGAATTCCTCTAGTGGTTCCCAACTTCCAGTGAGGATTTGCTACGAGTTTGAGAAATTGGTAATGTGGGTCGCTGGGTGCTATGTTGCATAACGTATTGAGCTTATGTTGGCAGTCTTTACTACTGTTTTTGCACAATTCATTAGATATATCGTGGCAGTTGACATTTGGACTCAACATTTTAGATCTTGCGCACTGAGAAAGTATGCGATCGTTCTTAATTCCTGCACTACAAATGTCTGGAACTTCATTAGTCAAGGCAAATCACATGTCCAAAGGGAATTAGTCATAACTCATAACAGATCAGAGAGCAATCGCATTTCAAATAAGTTTACCTACTAGCTGTTAGTACCTTTTATTATTCTTTTTATTCAGTAAGTTTCTCTTGGTTTAGCAAATCCATCATTTTGACTCAGCAACTCATTTATAAACTAACAATGACATGGTTATTTTGTCTGTGTGATGTCGACAGCTTGCTTGAACTTCCTTAGTCCCAGAAGTATAGAAGATTTGGTATTTCCTGGAGGTACAAAACTTGATTCTGTGGTCAAGAGGATTATATACAAATCTGATGACAACGACTATGATACATACCACTCTGAGGCAAACTCAACGTATTTGCTGCAACATGCTGAGGCTACCAGGTTCAATCTGTTCACAGGATTTCAGACACTTCCTGAGAGAGAGGAGAGCTTCAAGGTTCTAATGCTGGCTAACCTGCATTACTTTGCTGTTAAAAAAACTTTTTTCTGTAAATATATTTAATTTGTTTCCCCTACTTCTCCAGGTGAATGAAACTGTTAATGTGCACTGTGGTTTCTACAGTGACAATGGTGGTTTCAAAATTTCTGACATTGACATGAGATATATGAGATCTTGTAAAGTTGTGGTATCTACTTGTGCGTTTGGTGGTGGGGATGATCTATATCAGCCTATTGGAATGGTCAATTCTTCAATTGGAAAGGTATTATCATGCAATATTTTCTGAAGTGCAGATCTTTGTAAATCATCACATTTGAAGATTTCTCTTTGTGGATTTGAATGATCTTGTGGTTAAGCAGGTCTGCTATGTTGCTTTCTGGGATGAGGTCACACTATCAACTCAGGAATCTGAAGGAAAAGTAGTCGATGGCAATGGAATGATAGGAAGGTGGCGCATAATTGTTGTCAGGAGCCTCCCATTTGTTGATCAACGGTTAAATGGAAAGATACCAAAGGTATAATATAAATATTTCATAGTCTATTATTTATGGACTTGTGGGTGTCATGGCCTTCTAAAATGTGCCTTTGATTCTTGTTCTCTTGCTGTCTTAAGATTTCATAGAGAGACACGGCCATAAGTTAAATTTGCTACTATTGCCATGAGTTTTGCCTGTCAAGTATATTTTTAAGGATAGCACAAACAGTATATATATATATATATATATATATATATATATATATATATTTCTGATAGTAATATTCATACCATTTCTTTTTGGCAGATGTTGACTCATCGCCTTTTCCCAGAGGCAAGATACTCTATATGGGTGGACTCCAAATACCAATTCCGAAGGGATCCAATAGGTGTGCTTGAAGCACTTCTTTGGAGAACAAATTCTACCTTTGCTATTTCTGAACATGGAGCACGGAGTAACATCTATGATGAGGGTAAAGCTATTGTTCAAAAGCACAAGGCTACTCCAGAAGAAGTAGAAGTTCAATTAACTCAGTATCGTAAAGATGGGATGCCAGATGAAAAAAGATTACATGGGTTAAAAGGTTAGTGCTTGATTGTAAAGAATGGAATGAAGTGTTGCCTACTTTGCATATTGCATATACGGAACCAGTTCTGTAATTTCCATAGCTAATGTGTTAAGCATGGTTGATATGATCAATATATCTGTTATATTTTTCAGCTTTATCTGAAGCTTCAGTCATTGTGAGGGAGCTGGCCCCAGTGACGAACCACTTCATGTGTGCCTGGTTCAATGAAGTTGTTCGCTTCACATCTCGAGACCAACTCAGTTTTCCGTACGTCTTGTGGCGCCTAAACATGCCAGGAATCAACATGTTTACTGTATGCACTCGGAGGGATCTTGTGAACAGTTTGGGTCACACAAGAAAAGTAAAACCTCTTCTTACTCAGACCAATTCAGAGTCATCTGCCATGTGAAGCCTTTTTCTGGTTTATCTGCTGACAATCAACTAACCGTTGATTTATATTGTTCTGATCTGCCACACCCTTCGGTCCACAGTTTTGTTGTAAATTATTCATTCATTATTCCTCAAAAATCGTCACGGTCTCTATGTACAAGGACTTGCACCATTCACCAGATAGATACACGTTAAGAGGCAAACTATCCTACCTTGATGGTACCTGTAAAGTTCTCTTTCATTTGGTGCAAAGGAACAATATTGACCCTTTATATTTGCTATATACGAATGTGTAACATATGAATTTGTGATGCACCCGGTGCTGCAATCTTATCAATGAAAATGATATCATCTTCTGTCCTTTGCACCGTAGGAAAACATGGACACCAATTCTCCAATGATCTTACCTTTTCAGTTATCTTTATTTGTCGCCAGAAACATAGCCTAATTTTGGGTATATGATCCTATATCACCTGTAGTGCTGACTTGCTTGTGTGTGTGGACAATTTAACATGGGGCAATTACTCATTTGACCCTATTTTGATGTCTAACTATCAATTTGACCTTACTTTTCTAGGTTTGCTCATTTGACCATGCTTTTTAAAATTGAAGATCAGAGATGACCCTATTTTGTGAAGGGTAGATAACGGTGTTAACTAAGAGGGAAATTGTCCGTTTTGCCCCTGCTCATTTACCATATTATATCAAAGTTTTTTCTTCATCGGGACTTTTTAAATATTTGCAATGATTTTCATGGCTTTTACAGATCTGAGACAGATTTGTCTTCAATTTAACAGAATTTTACACAAATTTGACAGCATATTGTCCAACAGCAAAGCATATTGTCCAACAGCAAATCAGATCCAAATCCAACAATAAATTCGTATCCAAATCCATCAACAAATCCAACCACAAGTTATCCTCCGTCTCTCGTTCCACACGACGCACGACGGCAGCCGGCGGCGCCGCCCCTCCGCGCGGCAACAGCCGGCGCTGCTGCCCCTCCTCCACCCTCCGTGCGGCAGCAGCCCCGCCGCCGCTCAATCTCTCCGCTTCGAGCACGGCAGCCGCCGCCGCCGCCGCTCCCTCCTCCTGCGCGCCGACGCCGCTACTCCTTCCCTCCTCGCGCGGCCGCCGCCGCCGCTCGCCGCTCCCTCTCCTTCCTCGCGCGGCCGCCACTCCCTCTCCCTCCTCGCGCGGCCAACGCCGCCGCCGCTCCCTCTCCTTCCTCGCGCGGCCGCCACTCCCTCTCCCTCTACGCGCGGCCAACGCCGCCACCGCCGCCGCTCCCTCTCCCTCCTCGCGCGGCCGCCGCTACCGCTCCCTCTACGCGCGGCCAACGCCGCCGCCGCCGCCGCCGCTCCCTCTCCCTCCTCGCGCGGCCGCCGCCACCGCTCCCTCGATGCGCCGCCAACGCCGCCGCCGCCTCTCCCTCCAGCCCGGTCGGCGGCAGCTCTCCCCGTCACCGGCGAGGTGGGGATTGGGACGAAGAGCTGGGGAATGGAATGGGAATCCTAGGGTTAATTTGTAACACGGGGGTATTTTGGTCACTTTAGGGTAGTATTTTTTTTTTCTTTTTTCTAAGTGATGTTCTACCGGTGAAAGCAAAACAGGTCAAATGGAAACTTCAATTTCAAATAACAGGGTCAAATAAACAAACCTAAAAAAATAAGATCAATTTAGTAGTTGGCCTTTAAAATAGGGTTAAATAAGCAATTATCCCATTTAACATATCGGAATTTCTACGCGTTTCTCTAGCTTTGATGCATCTGTGGGCTGCAAAGCCCAGCTAAGCAAAAGGCCCATCTCTTCCTCTTCCCCTTCTGGCTCCCTCTCCCCCCCTATCCCCTTCTTATCCGCTCTGCTCTCTCCACCTCGCCTCCCCGAAACGAAATGGCAGTGGCGTTCCACTGAACCAGGCCAAGCCAGACGGACAAGACTTCGCCGCAGCCGCGTCCTCCTCACCGCGCCGCCGTCGCAATGGCTACGGCCATCGCAGCCTCCGCGTTCCTCTCCTCCGCCTTCGCCAGGGACAGGCCGCTCCCCCGCCAGCGGCGCGCGGCGAGGCCCGCGACCCGCCGCGCCGCCGCGGGGGGCCTGTCGGTGCGGTGCGAGCAGAGCGAGAAGCAGAAGAGGCAGCCGCTCTCCGCGCTCGTCCCCCGCGAGCAGCGATTCATGTTCGAAGGCGACGAGCTCTGCGGCCCCGTACTAACCCTCACCTCTCTTTCTCTCTCCCGTATACATTCTTCTCTTTCTCAGTTCAGAAAATGAATAGTAATGCTACATTCCTTGGATAAAGGGAAATTTTACCGTGATTTAGGATTGCCGCTTATTTAGGAAAGCTCAAGATTAGTCCCATTCATTTCTAAATCCGTAAGTCACTTCATCTTGCTCTATTGGGTCAAATCCTTTCTTTACATGAATAATGTTAGGGAAAATACACAATGTTTTTACATGTTACTATACCGTATAGACCACCATCTTATTTTATTTAAAGTTATCTAGTTGTAATTTATTACGAAAGAGGATTCCATAAAATGAACTGAAAATAACATGGAGGGAACGTTGGTCTTTCTGAATTGGTCGCTAACATTGTGTTGTATTACTCAACAGTGTTCGCACCTACATGACTACCATATCTTTTTATCTGTGGATGTTTAGGTTTGTGAAGTTAGAATTCAGTACGGATACCATTCTTGTGTTCTTTCTCTCTTTTCTGTGCAACCTGTTCTGTGTAGTGATCGGACCAAGGAATTTAATTTGCAGGACATATGGAACACAACATGGTACCCTAAGGCTGCAGATCATGTAACTACTGAGAAGACATGGTATGTTGTTGATGCAACAGACAAGATTCTAGGTAGGCTTGCATCCACCATTGCAGTACACATCAGAGGAAAGAATGAGGCCACATACACTCCAAGTGTGGACATGGGGGCTTTTGTTGTTGTGGTATGTATGTTTCTTGAAATTAATTTATAAAGTTAAATAGTGCACACAATAAGATCCTCTGTAGTCCCACAAAAGGAAAAGAGGTTTAGCAGCACATACAAATAAGCACCAAAAGGTATCTGGAAGCTGAGGTCCACCTGAAGGCATTTTGAAGCTGATTTCATGTATATATATTTATGTTACTGTGTGCTTTTAATACTAATGCATCTCTGAAGAGTAATTGCTACGCATATACTATTGTAAGTTCCTGAACTACCATGCTGAACTCTATGTTCACATAGGTTAATGCAGAGAAGGTTGCTGTTTCTGGCAAAAAGCGGTCACAGAAGCTCTACAGGAGGCACTCTGGACGGCCTGGTGGAATGAAAGAAGAAACTTTTGATCAGCTTCAGAAAAGGATTCCGGAGAGAATTATTGAACATGCAGTGCGTGGCATGCTTCCTAAGGGCAGAGTAAGACATCATCTCTTAGAGCTCTTATCTAGTCAGTTTCATCAAGTCTTTTTGACCTTAAGTCAGCCTACCTGGGTATACATATGCTCTTATCCTTATTTTTGGTCAATTTCTAATACATATCTGAAAATGGGTATCCTCGTTCTGTTCCATTATACTTCATTATTGTGTATAATTCCCCAACTTTATATACCCTGTTCATGGAAATATTCGCTCTAATTGAATGCCGAAACGGCGTGGGCTAACGAAGTACTAGATGTATTCTCCCAAAACTCCTATGTTGCCTGTAAGACATCTTATGATTGCCTAAAGCCTTTTACTTATGCCTAAGTTCATTTATAAAAAAAAAAAACGTTTACTATGTCAACCTCTCAAGTTCTCATATGTTAGTGACACTGACACATGTAATCCGACCAACTACAGCGGTTGTACGTGCTCTATGTAGCCTTCTCAACATTTTGAACATTTTGCAGCTGGGAAGAAGACTGTTTACCCACCTCAAGGTGTACAAGGGAGCAGAACATCCCCATGAGGCTCAAAAACCTGTTCCACTGCCTATCAAGGATAAAAGAATACAGAAGTCTGAGAAGTAGATAATTCCTGTGGAGACTAAGAAAGACACAACAATCTCACGTAAATTCCTCCCCTCGAGATTTTGTCCAATCTTTGGAATGTGATGCATCTGTCTGTTTGGGGAATGGAGTGTAAAATTTTTTGTAATTTACTTCCTCCAAAAGTTTGTGTTTCTAAGTCATAGTTCTTGTTGATTACATATCATGTACCTAATACCGTACGATTTTAAGCAATCCGATATTTCCATATCCAATTGAGTAGTGCAATTTTGACCTGAGATGAGCTTGATGTGTCATTGTTTGGGGGCAAAAGTGTTCTCTTTTTTCAATGGGCATCAGGTGTTTCTAAATTCTCTTAATAGTTGATGTAGATCTGTTAATTAATTGCACGTCCGTGTTTATCTTCCATATAACGAAAAAGTTGACAGTACCAATCGTGTGCTCAAGTAACACCTATTGTACCATGTACTCATTCTGTAAAAAAAAAGCCAATTTAGATGAAGATCTGATACCACCTAAAAATAATGATTAGGAGGTTATCCAGATTTATATTAGGTGGTATCAAATTTTCATCTACGGGGTTGTTTAGATCCAGAGGTGTAAAGTTTCGACGTATCACATCGGATATTATATAGAGTGTCGCATAGGGTGTTCGGTTACTAATAAAAAAAACTAATTACAGAATCCGTCAGTAAATCGTGAGATAAATTTATTAAGTCTAATTAATCCATCAATAACAAATGTTTACTGTAGCACAATATTGCTAAATTATGGAGCAATTAGGCTTAAAAGATCCATCTCGTAAATTAGTCGCAATATGTAAAATTAGTTATTTTAGCCTATATTTAATACTTCATGTAGGTGTTCAAACGTTTGATGTTACAGAATAAAAAATTTTAAGGTGGAATCTAAACAGGTAGTTTTTTCAAGGAAGAAAGTAATTGCGAGAACATAGATTGAAGTTCAATTGAACAGAGGCGGCATGGCAGTGAGATGAGTAGATCCCGGAGTGGCCGGGTCGTCGCCTATAAAATTCAGCGAGATTCATTCGAGAGCGCGTCACTGCTTACCTAACCCCACCCAATCACCCCAACCGAACCCCGCACGGCGCACCGGACGCCGTCGCGTCCGGTCGCTCGTCCTCCGCGACCCCACCTGAACAACTGAAGAACTCATCATCCGTCATCCCTCCCCCTCCCGCCAGTTACCCTCCAGTACCATCCTCCGCCCGCCTCGTCTTAAAACGCCTTCTGGAAAATTCCGCCAATCCGAGAGGGATTTTTCCTCGCAACCAACCAAACCAACCAAACCCCCAACCAAGCGAGCAAGCCGCCTTCGCCGGGGGGGCCCCCACCCTGACGGCAACCCTAGCCCTCCGATCACCGGCGCTGAGACTGATCCCGCCGCCGTAGGAGGAGGAGGAGGAGGTGGTGGTGGTGGTGGTGATGGAGGGGGGCGGCGGGGGCGGGTCGCTGCCGCCGTTCCTGAGCAAGACGTACGAGATGGTGGACGACCCGTCGACGGACGCGGTGGTGGGGTGGACGCCCGCCGGCACCAGCTTCGTCGTCGCCAACCAGCCCGAGTTCTGCCGGGATCTGCTCCCCAAGTACTTCAAGCACAACAACTTCTCCAGCTTCGTGCGACAGCTCAACACCTATGTAAGGGAGCTCGCCTCTTAACCTCATGTGTGCCTTTCTGTCTTCCTCTGCTCTGCCGCTGATGCTTGAATTGGGGCTTGGTCGTAATGCGCGCCCGCCGGGACCTATGGGCTGGGTAGGAATGCCGGATTTGTTAGAATTGGGCGAGTCCTTTGCTGTAATTACTCCTGTTTAGGATTTATTACTTTCAGCACAAAATATTTTATAAGTTTTCGTTGATTGCTAGTATAGCATATTCTGTTCATTTTAGGATTTTAAGACAGTACTTGTGAATAACCAAGGTCAACTCTTGTTCTACCAAGAAAATTCAAGTAGCTTATTGCAATGTTATTGTCTTCTCCATCCGGTTGAAGTTGTACAAAAATGTTTGATAATGGTGAGTGAGGTTGAAATAGATGTGTGTTCACATCAATGTCAAAGCTCCAAACTGTTTTAGAATTGAAGCAAGCTATCCGGTACAGTTCATTCCTTGTGGTGGCAGTGCATAGTTTTTTTTAGCCTTGATCATGTATGATTTTTTTTCCCCTTTTGGCTGCTTGAGTTATGCTATTTTAATGAGGATCCCCTTTTGTTCTCATTTAGGGCTTTAGGAAAGTAGATCCAGAACAATGGGAATTTGCAAATGAGGATTTCATAAAAGGACAGCGGCACCGGTTGAAAAATATACATAGACGCAAACCTATATTCAGCCATTCATCACACAGTCAGGGTGCTGGACCATTAACAGATAATGAAAGGAAAGACTATGAGGAAGAAATCGAGAGGCTCAAATCCGATAATGCAGCACTGTCCTCAGAGCTTCAAAATAATACGTTGAAGAAACTTAATATGGAGAAACGAATGCAGGCTTTGGAAGAGAAGCTATTTGTTGTGGAAGATCAGCAGAGGAGTCTGATATCATACGTCAGAGAGATTGTAAAGGCACCAGGATTTCTTTCTAGCTTTGTACAGCAACAAGATCATCACAGGAAGAAGAGGAGACTGCCAATACCAATCTCCTTCCATGAGGATGCAAATACTCAGGAGAACCAGATCATGCCTTGTGACTTGACCAACTCACCAGCTCAGACATTTTACAGAGAATCATTTGACAAGATGGAATCATCCTTGAACTCATTAGAAAATTTCCTTCGAGAAGCAAGTGAAGAATTTGGTAATGATATTTCATATGATGATGGTGTCCCAGGCCCTTCTTCAACTGTTGTTCTCACAGAGCTCCATTCACCTGGTGAAAGTGATCCCCGTGTTTCATCACCTCCAACAAGGATGCGTACTTCGTCAGCTGGTGCAGGAGATTCGCACTCCTCTCGTGATGTAGCAGAGTCTACCAGCTGTGCAGAAAGTCCTCCTATTCCTCAAATGCATTCTCGTGTAGATACACGAGCGAAGGTTTCTGAAATAGATGTTAATTCAGAACCTGCTGTTACAGAAACTGGTCCATCAAGAGATCAACCTGCTGAAGAGCCTCCTGCTGTCACACCTGGTGCAAACGATGGCTTCTGGCAGCAGTTTCTTACCGAGCAGCCTGGATCATCAGATGCACATCAGGAGGCTCAATCAGAACGGCGAGATGGAGGAAACAAGGTGGATGAGATGAAATCAGGAGATCGACAACATCTTTGGTGGGGCAAAAGGAACGTTGAGCAGATAACAGAAAAACTTGGACTTCTCACCTCAACGGAGAAAACCTGACATAATTTTGTTTTTCTTTTTGTAGATGAAAAACTATTAATTCAGGAACGCTGACATTGGTGCCTTCCTCAGTGAGATATGTTGACTAACATCTATTTCGCAGTGTACCGTATTTTTTCCATCATGTACCGTAATGTATCATAGTGCCATACATTCATCTTTGGTCCATTGACACTTTCTGATATCATTGTGCGTGATTTCTAAAATATTCTCAAGTTTGGTTAAATGTTACAGATTCTATTTATGCTTGATTGTTTGCTACAATACATTGTGTCAAGTGCACATGAGGATAGGGTCTTCGTTTTTTCGCTCTTCGTATTATGTCCCATATTTGTCCTAATTGCCTGTGGTCCGCCGCCTTCGTTGAACCGGATTATGTGTGCCTCTGTTTGTCCTTGAGCTGCTTTCTGTCTCGACATATCCGCCTATCGCCTCTACAACACAAAGCCTCCCTGATGCCTTGTGGTAGCTACGATATGTGCTCAGTTTGTGCCTTTGTTGGCTTAATTTCGTAGGTAAATCGGAGCAAATTTAAAGGCCTTTTGAGAGATCATCTTTTAAGATCACTCACACATGATCTGAGAGGCTGGTGAAAGTGATCCTAAGTTCTGTACCTGATCTGAAAGGCTGAAACTGAATGTTTACCTGCACTGTGGACCAGGTGGTACTACGAAATTACGAATGGACCTACACAAACACTGCCATCAGGATGTCCGCGTACCCACCGGCCACCACCCACATACATGTGTTTTGAAGCAGTAGCACTTCGTCTTTCAAAAGCGTTGCACAACACGGGTTACTTTTTTTCGAATAAGACACAACACGGGTTACTGCGTGTGCAATGCTATGTTCAGTATAAGCATTTCCGAACAGAACAAAAATAAAGGGCAAACCATGGAGGCCTGGAGTAGCGCTATGAGTTAAGGTCTTAAGATGCCGTAACGAGGCTAATCAAACAACGAGCACAAACTTCATTCACATTTGCTACTACCTCAAGAGTACAAAAAAAGAATGCACCGCGTTACGCGTTAATGCGGGGGGATCACATCATCACAAGCTGCACGTGGAAACTTTCTCATGTGCAAGCCATACATACATTCACTTGCCTTCCGTGAAGCTTTCCATTTTACTTGATATGGAAAAAGTTAAAACAGAAACGTGCAAAGAAAAGTGAAGTCAGCTATGGACATATGGACCTACTTTTCCAGCACAAGATTGTATTGGCTTTTGCCCCCAGTGGAGAATCGAGCACTCCACGGTATTAACTTCACACTGGAGCATTCGTAGGGCCTGGTGTTAGTCATTCTTTGAGTACCCAGCTTTCACATTCATCAAAAATTGTATAGAGATGGTTGAATTAATCATGACAATCTGCAGATATAAGCAACCTTGACTACTATCCTCCGATCAGTTTATCACTGGGCGTTTGTTCATCATCAATATCAACTGAGGAGACAGACACGGCCAGTTCATCAAACTCATCGGTAAGATCAGTCTCAGGTTCTGGTTCAGTAGCATCTGCCAGTGCGCTCAGCATGGTGACCACTTCAAACGTATCATCCAGGTAAAATTTGGCCTTGCTTGGTTTTTGTCCCACAGTGCATGCAAACAATGATGTGTTTGTAGCAACCATACCCTTTTTAATGGTATCAGCAATGTTTTCAAACATGTCCTCATCCGACCTGTCATCACCAATGCATAATACAAAGTCAGCCTGCTTTCCTCTCTCCTTCATTGAGACGAGTATCTTCTCAGCTACTACTCCCTTGCTTACTCCCTGCAGTATTAACATAACGAAAACAAAAGAAATAAATGTTCAGTATGCAGCAAAGTTATCTGGGACAGAAATGAGGACACATAGTAATGGAACAAATTTAGTTTATGGAGAAATTAAAATAAAATATAAAATGTGCC